AAGAGTGGGTCAACCCCTAGACATCGCCCGTGCGGTCGCATTCCTGGCCTCCACTGACGCCCACTTTATTACCGGCGCTAATGTTGTGGTCGACGGCGGCTTTGAATTTACGAATGGTTTTATTAATACAGTGTAAAACATTTTAACATGTTTAATGTATTTAATTGTTGTAATTGATTTAATATGATATAATTTTAAAAATAAAATACTTACTTTCGCTAGTTATTTTTTGATAAACATTTATTAATTGTTAAATATACATATTCATTTAAATTTTATTAATTATATAGTTTATTATGCACTATTACAATCACAATTTTCAACTGTCAAATCATATAAATTGTTCAAAACATTAATGATCATAAATCAAATAAAAGGTTTGATTAAAAGTAAGTTTAATTAATATTATAAAATGCAACATTTATTATGTTTTTACTAATTGAGTGTTTGGGTAAGAAAAGAATAGAAATATATTGATTTTAGCTATTTATATAATAATTAACAAATAAAATAAATTGTTTCCAAACTATTATTACTATTATTTGGTAAAAATATTCTTATATTATTTAATCTAATCATAATTCAAATAATTAATGCAATCTTGATAAAATTAAAAACACGAATTACTTGATTTAGTGCAAATTTCTCTCCAAGCAAAAATCACAAGGAACAGGGCAGGGCAGGGAAATAAAAATTTTAAAAAGTTGCATGTCTAATTGCTATTATTAATACAAAACGCGTCCACAATTCTTTGACACCATTGTAAAACTTGTTTAAAAATTTTATTTAAAAAGTTATTCTAAATGTTTATTTTCAAAATAATATTGGTTTAATTCAATCATAATAAGTCAATGTTTAACAGAGTTTACATTGTATTTAATGCACCGATATTATATACAAAGCCGCCATCGACTAACACATTGGCGCCGGTAATAAACTGGGCGTCAGTGGAGGCCAGGAATGCGACCGCACGGGCGATGTCTAGGGGTTGACCCACTCTTCCCAATGGCGTGTATTTGGCCGCAAGTATTTCCATTGGGTTCATAGGCTCTTTCACATGCGTTACACCCGGACTATTAAATTCAATATAATGATTGAGTGAATGAAATATTAATTTGGAATAAATTTTATTAATTACTTACTTAATAGTATTGACGCGAATGTTTTTGGGCCCCAATTCCAGGGCTAATACTTTGGTCAACATATCCAGAGCCGCTTTGGCCGGACAATAAGCAAGCATTGTTTTAAGCTAACAAATAAAATGTCGCAAGTATAATGTTAAATAATTAAATTGAAATAATATCTGATAATTAACCAAGTCTTATTAATTAAAATTTTAAATTGTATTCACACTGTATTATAACAACTTTTATATAATAGCTTTACAAATAACTGTTACTTGCCTTCAAAATATATTAAAAGTAATAGTTTTATTTATTTATGCGATTACATGTATGATATACAGTATATAAAAGTGCATTACATACCGGTGCGAGAGATAAGCCACTGGAAATATCAATAATAGTTCCGTTAGTCCTCTCCAGATGTGGAACCGATCGGTGGATAAGCTCTACGACAGCGCGTAAATCGACGGCAAATACCTGATCCCAAACTGATAATAGATCCGTTTGAGTGATGTTTGTTTGCGGATATATACCGGCGTTATTGACCAATACATCAATTTTGCCAAACGTTTTGACCGTAGAATCAATCAAATTATTTACATCTGACGATTTAGTGATATCTCCAACAACTTCTAATGGCTGTTAAAATCATTGTATATTTAGGAATTAAATTTTATTCAAAATTGAATTATTACTAAATATACCTTCAATTTTAATGGCGATAATTCCTGAACTTCTTTGGCTACTCGTTGAACATCTGGAGCTGTTCTTCCGGTGACCACAACATTAGCCCCTAATATTGAGAACAGTTTAACGATTCCCTCTCCGATTCCCGACGAGGAACCGGTCACGAGAATCACTTTCCCCGTGAAGTTCCGGGACTTTGCGACCGCTTTATAGTCCTCTATAGGATAGTCTGCGCTCACAATACAAACCAATCCACACATCAATGCTATTAAGAATTTCATATTTAATATCAAAATCTAAATATTTGTTTTAAATTAAAGTTACATAAAATTAAATATAATATAAATTAGTATTAAATGCTTGTTTTAATAATAAATGCATTGATTTATATAGGTAAAAGTTCAGAACTAAACATCAACATTTGCACTAAATATTGATAACACTGTTATAATAAAGAAGGAAAACCAAATCTGGCTAACAATGCACTTACGATTTATTGTTATAAAATGAAAATTCACTCTACTGTATACGGAGTGTAATGGTATATTTCATGGTGACTTTAGGTTTGGCCGCAGTGACCACTTATATTAGAATAAATTAAATCTATTGTTTATGATTAAGTCTATTATATTATATATTAATTAAAAGGTATGGATGAAAAAATCAGAATCTAAATGAATTTTCAAATTTTGAGATCATTAAAAAAGTTATACAAAATAGTAAAGAATGTCATATAAAATTACTACGTTATTTATGAAAAAATGTTGTTATTATATTCTATTCATATTAATTTATATTATATTGACAATGATGATTTAAGATTAAAATTAATTTTTTATATTTATAATTTTTAGTTATTTTATAAATACGTTTGGTCTAACTTCTTTATAATAATGATACTTTATAGGTCAAGTGTAGTGTACTATTGATTTATATAATTAATATCAATTTATATTATTAATTGCTGCATTATTGCTAAACTTTTGCGATATGATTGTGACGATATCATCTTTATTGAATTAAACTAATTATTAATTAATTAAGAATTAACAATATAATGTACCTTTACAGAATATTGATATTATACTTTTAAATATTATTAGACTAAAATTTAAAGAATAATTTTATTTAATTTTTCTATTTAATAATTCTAAAATTTCAACAATTTTGTCAAAATCTATTAATTCTTTTTTAGTTGCAAATATATGCACTTTATGATTATGGTAATATACCAAAATCTAACTATACTCTAAAAATAAAATTAAGTTAATAAACAAATTGTAATTAGATTTACAAACAAGTCTAAATCAAGACAATTTTATTATTTGTAAGCAATTATAATAAATGATTTGATTTATATTTATATAACAAAATGTTTTTAAGTTTTAGTTACTTTTTTATATTTTTTGTAATGTGCATTTATTGTGATATGCAAACTTTTAGTTTTGACCACGATAATATATTGAATATTAACATTCTGTAACCATTGTATTCACAGCTTAAGTAAATATTTATAAATATACAAAAATATATTGTTTAAATAATAAATTATTACATTCATAACATACAAAAATATATTTAATTTAATTATTTTTAATTATTTTAAATTTTATAAAATATATTATTTAATGTATCTAGACGAAACATTACATTTACAGATATCAACGTTAAACACCGCTATACTCTACTTACAATTAAACTGATAGTATAAGTACAAATAAATTGAAAAAGTAACCTTGATAAGTAAAAGTGTAAAATATGATGTGATTATACAACTATGTAACTTTCATATAAATATTATTAATTCCCTGACTATCATATCACACCTTCAAATTGATATTGCACTAAAAGTGCATTTGACCTTTATTTATATTTATTAAATATATATTGATAAATGTAGTAGGTAAAGATTTAACACACACAATTTTGCTTCCTATATAAATCAAAACGTTTTCTGTAAAATAATAAATTCATCTTGAAGTTTAATTTGTAAATTTATTGTAATTTAAATTATAATATATTTATAATTTATACTAAATATGAAATTATTATTAGTATTGTTGTGTGGATTGGTTTGTATTGTGAGCGCAGACTATCCTATAGAGGACTATAAGGCGGTCGCAAAGTCCCGTAACTTTACGGGTAGTGTAGTTGTAGTGACCGGTTCCTCGTCGGGCATCGGAGAGGGAATCGTTAAACTGTTTTCCATATTAGGGGCTAATGTTGTGGTCACCGGAAGGAAAGCACAGGACGTTCAACGAGTGGCCAAAGAGGTGCAAGAATTATCACCTCTAAAATTAAAGGTATTTTTATTAGAAATTTAAAAACAAAACAAATTTCTAAAAAATTAATTATTTTTTAACAGCCATTAGAAGTTGTGGGAGATTTGACCAAAACCTCTGATATAAACAATTTAATTGATTCTACGATCAAAAAGTTTAGCAAAATAGATGTGTTGATCAATAACGCCGGTATATATCCGACGACAAACATTACACAACCGAATCTGTTGTCAGTTTGGGATCAGATATTTGCACTCAATTTACGCGCTGTCGTAGAACTCATCCACCGATCGGTTCCACATCTGGAGAAAACCAACGGAACTATTATTGATATCTCAAGTATTGGCGCAATTACACCGGTATTTAATACAGATTATATTTAAACAATCAAATATTATACTGTATTATTATAGCGCATCTCAACTCAAAAACTATAAACATCTTACTCTTTCATTAGAAATTGTTTAAATTCAAAAAGTCAAATTAATTTTGTACCAATATAAATTTTGTTTACAGTTTTTAAAAATTAATTATATTTCTATTAGCTTAAAATGTTTCTTGGTTATGGAGCGGCCAAAGCGGGTCTGGATATGTTGACCAAAATATTAGCCCTGGAATTGGGAACCAAAGGTATTCGTGTCAATACTGTTAAGTACGTATTTAAATGAGTTCTCTCTCTCTCTCTCTCTCTCTCTCTCTCTCTCTCTCTCACTCACTCATTAAGTCATTCACTAATAATATACTATCAATAGTCCGGGTGTTATACACGTAAAAGAAGACCCTTACGAACCGATACTTGCAAAATACACGCCATTGGGAAGAGTGGGTCAACCCCTAGACATCGCCCGTGCGGTCGCATTCCTGGCCTCCACTGACGCCCACTTTATAACCGGTGCTAATGTTGTGGTCGACGGAGGCTTTGAATTCACAAATGGTGTGATTAATACAGTGTAAAAGATTTTAACTTGTTTAATATAACTTTTTTATATTTAATTGTTGTAATTGATTTGTTATAATATAATTTTAAAAATAAAATACTTTTGTTAGTTATTTTTGCTAAGCATTGATTAATTGCTAAATATACATATTAATTTAATTTTTATTAAATATTTTGTTAATTAGACATTATCACAATTCTCAACCAAGCTGTCAAATTAAATTAAAATTAATTATTAATCAAATGTAAATTTTGTTTTTTATTAAATAAGTGTTTAGGTAAAAACAAAATATATGCCAAAATCTTATTATACTGTTCTTAAAATTAACATAATAATTTTTAATCATTTTTATAAAATATAGTTGATAGACAATTTTATTATTTGTAAGCAATTATAATAAATGATTTGATTTATATTGTATAACAAAATATGTTTTAAGTTTTAGTTACTACTTTATCTTTCTTGTAATGTGCATTTACTTTTCTCTTTGACCACGATCATATATTGAATACTAACATTCTGTAACCATTGTATTCACAGCTTAAGTAAATATTTATAAATATATATCAAAAATATATTGTTTAAATAATAAATTATTACATTTTTTAACATACAAAAATATATTTAATTTAATTACCTTTAATAAATTTTATAAAATATAATATTTAATGTATTTAGAAGAAACATTACATTTACAGATATCAACGTTAAACACCGCTATACTGTACTTACAATTAAACCAATAGTTTTAGTACAAATAAATTGAAAAAATAGCCTTGATAAGTAAAGGTGTAAAATATAATGTGATTATACAACTCTGTAGCTTTCATATAAATATTATTAATTCCCTGACTATCATAACACAATTGCAAATTGATATTGCACTAAAAGTGCATTTAACCTTTATTTATATTAATAAATGTTATAGGTAATGATTTAACACTCACAATTTTGCTTCCTATATAAATCAGAAAGTTTTTTGTAAAATAATAAATTCATCTTGAAGTTTAATTTGTAAATCTATTGTAATTTAAATTATAATATATTTATAATATATACTAAATATGAAATTATTAGTAGTATTGATGTGTGGATTGGTTTGTATTGTGAACGCAGACTATCCTATAGAAGACTATAAGGCGGTCGCAAAGTCCCGGGACTTCACGGGAAAAGTGGTTCTCGTGACCGGTTCCTCGTCGGGCATCGGAGAGGGAATCGTTAAACTGTTCTCAATATTAGGGGCTAATGTTGTGGTCAACGGCAGAACAGCACCTAATGTTCAACGAGTGGCCAAAGAGGTGCAGGAATTATCACCTCTAAAATTAAAGGTATTTTGATTAGAAATTTAAATTTAAAAATAAAACAAATTTCTAAAAAATAAATTTTTTTTCACAGCCATTGGAAGTTGTGGGAGATTTGACCAAAACCTCTGATGTAAACAATTTAATTGATTCTACGGTCAAAACGTTTGGCAAAATAGATGTGTTGATCAATAACGCCGGTATATATCCGACGACAAACATCACACAACCGGATCTGTTGTCAGTTTGGGATCAGATATTTTCACTCAATTTACGCGCTGTGGTAGAGCTGGTCCACCGATCGGTTCCACATCTGGAGAAAACCAACGGAACTATTATTGATATCTCAAGTTTGTCCGCAATTACACCGGTATATAATTTTTAATATTTAAATAATTTAATATTGTATTATACTAGTATCATATTTGTCCCAATATTAATTTTGTTTACTGTATTTTAAAATTAATTATATTTCTATTAGCTTAAAATTTTTCTTGGTTATGGAGCGGCCAAAGCAGGTCTGGATATGTTGACCAAAATATTAGCCCTGGAATTGGGGCCAAAAGGTATTCGTGTCAATACTACTAATAATTTCATATTTAGTATATATTATAAATATATTATAATTTAAATTACAATAGATTTACAAATTAAACTTCAAGATGAATTTATTATTTTAC